CTCTTGTCAGTTTCTAATGGGATATGATCAATAAGACACTCAGATATTTCTAATGAAAGAAGCAATGGGTCGTTACCTCCAACGCTCACCGTGGTTCCCTTCCCAAAAATCAAAGACCTGCTGCGTGCATCTGCACAGTAATAAATGCCAGAATCATTCCTTTGGATGACCCTGATTTCCAGTGTTGTTCTGTATCTCTGATCTTTGCAAGCAAATTTGTTCACATTTTTATCCATACACTTCATAATGTGCATGGGGCCCACAGCCGCCCGTCTCAGATACCAGTGCACAGTTCCTTCCCCATCCAAATCTTCCCTGGAGGAACAGGGGATCTCTTCTGTCCCACCGACTTCCACAAACAGGAACCACTGAGGCTGGTGCAGATGTAACTGGACTCCCAACACTGTGGAAACACAATAGAGCAATCGTCAGCTTCCAGCGACTCTTGGGCTGACACAGGTGCTCTTCATGTCTTAGGACCAAAAGGCATTTGCTGCTAATACTGGTGCTTTCAAGGCAGCCTTACATCAGCAACCTAATAACCCCATCTACAGCTACCTCCAACATCACAAAAAGGCATTTGAAATCCAGTCCAGAGCCCAGCACTGGAATCTGTGTCCAGCTGAAGATGTTCATGTCCTCGATCCCAGGAGCTGAGAGCCATGTTGGGGGTTTACCTATGGATGAGACAATCAGGGACATGGTGAGGAACACGATGGCCATAAGTATCCTGCCTCCCCAGTCCAAGGTCTGCTATCTAAGTGCAGACCTGCAGTGCAAGGGCTCAGGGCTGGTCATTTCTGGGAAGAAACACCTCCCCCTGGGACGTGGCTGCTGGGGAGGGGGTGTTTTTTAACCCCGTTACTTTGCTGTGCACAGATCTGCATCACATTTCTCTGCATCTGTGTGGTGCTTCGGTTTACTGTGAGCATTAATGCTTGTTACACCAGCAGCTAACATGCCACAAAACATCTCCCCTTGGTGGCCTGCTAAGAGGAGCCCAAGTGTCTTAGTAGCTCAAACCGTATTGACTCCAAAGGGCACCCATGGTCACAGATCACTTAGGTGCTTGTGAGACTTATCCTGCTGCTTTGGGTTCCAGCCATACAAGTCCTTGATTTCTTACGGGTACAACCCCCACCCCAGAATAAGTGTTTGCAACCTCTTTTGGAAGAAGTATTGGTGGCATCTGATCTCATAGATTTCATACGTTTCTAGGGTCAGAAGGGAACTAGTAGATCATCAAGTCTGACCCCCTGCTCTAGGCAGGAAAGAGCACTGGGGTTAAGTAACCCCAGCCAGGTGCTTGCCCAATCTCTTTTTGAACACCTCCAAGGTAGGGGAGAGCACCACCTCCCTTGGAAGCCCATTCCAGATTTTGGCAACCCTCACTGTAAAGAATTTCTTTTTGATGTCTAACCTAAACCTACTCTCCTTCAGTTTGCGGCCATTATTTCTAGTAATCCTGAGGAGTGCCCTGGTAAACAGAGTACCCACTATTCCCTGTTGACCGCCCCCCCCTGCCCCCCCCAAATGAGTTTGTAGATAAGCACAAGATCATCTCTCAGCCTTCTCTTGCAGAAGCTGAAGAGATTCAGGTCCCTCAGTCGGTCTTCATAGGATTTTACCTGCAAGCCCTCAACCATACGAGTGGCCTCCTCTGGACCCTCTCAAAGTTAACCACATCCCTCTTGAAGTGCGGTGCCCAAAACTGGACACAGTACTCCAACTGTGGCCTTACCAATGCCACATAGAGGGGAAGTATCACCTCCCTGGACCTGGTCAGGATGCACCTACTAATGCAAGAAAGAGCGCGGTTAGCCTTACTTATTACCTCGTCACACTGGCGACTCATTCATTTTAGCGTCGACTATGACTCCGAGATCCTTTTCCACTGCTGTGGTACTCAGAATGGGACTTCCCAGTCTGCAGGTGTATTGGAGATTCTCTCTCCCCAGGCGCAACACCCTGCACTTATCCTTGTTAAACTGTGACCTTTTCTGATCTGCCCACTTCCCCAGTCTATCCAGATTGGCCTGAATTTGCTCCATGCCTTCCAGTGTGTTTACTATACCCCATAGTTTGGTGTCATCTGCAAATTTGAACAGAGTGCTTTCAACCCGCTCATCCAAATCACTGATGAAGATATTAAACAGCACTGGTCCAAGGATGGAGCCCTGGGGATCACCACTGCCCACTTCTCTCCAGGGAGAAACCGACCCATCCACCACCACTCTCTGGGTGCACCCCACAAGTCAGTTTTTTATGCACCGGACTGTGAAAAAATCCACGTCACAGACACTCAGTTTGCTTGTGAGAACTGGGTGCAACACTGTGTCGAAAGCCTTTTTAAAATCCAAGTAAATAACATCTATCTCTACCCCTGCATCTAAGCACTTTGTGACCTGGTCATAAAAGAGACCAGGTTTGTCAGGCAGGATCTGCCTGCTATAAACCCATGCTGGTTTCCCCTTAACATTATATTACCTGCTGGCCCCCCACAAATGTGATCCCTTATAATTTTTTCTAAGGTCTTGCCAAGAATAGAGGTGAGGCTAACTGGCCTATAATTACCTGGGTCCTCCTTCCTCCCCTTCTCAAAAATAGGGACCACATTGGCCCTTTTCCAGTCTTCTGGGACCTGTCCTGAGCACCATGAGCACTCAAACAGTTGTGCCAGTGGTTTCACTATGACACCGGCCAATTCCTTTAGTACCCTTGGGTGAAGACCATCGGGGCCCGCCAACTTAAATATGTCTAACCCTTCCAAGTGCCCCTTCACTAGGTCAGCACTAACTGTTGGTGGATTGGTATTTCTCTCACGCCAGATTAAAGTCTCATTGGGAGGTGTGTTTGTATCTGTGTCCAGGAACACAGGTGCAAAGAAATCATTTAAGAGCTCCGCTTTTTCCATCCTATCAGTTACGAGCTGCACTAGTCCATTCTGTAGCGGCCCTATGTTACCCCACGCCTGCTTCCTGCTCCCTATGTACTTAAAGAAGGACTTCTTGTTACTTTTAATCTTTGTTGCCAACTTGAGTTCTGTATCTCAAGGCTTTGGCCTTCCTCACTGCTTCCCTGCAAGCATAAGCCAAGCAGGTATACTCCTCCTTGGTGGCAGTCTCCTGCTTCCACAGCTTGTAAGCCTTTCTTTTCCTCTGAAGGCTCTCCTGAGTTTCCCTGCTCAGCCAAGAAGGTATTTTGTCTCTTTTGCCTCCCTTTGTGTGTACTGGGGTGGTGTCCCTCTGTGCCTGCCGGATCAGTCCCTTGAGGAACTCCCACCCTTCTTGGACTCCCAGCTCACAGATGTGATTACCCCTCGGTCCCACTCTAACTAACCCCCTGAGCTCGTTGAAGTTGGCCTTTCAGAAGTCTAGGACTTCTGCCCTACTAGTTGCCTTACCCATCTTTCGCCGGATAGTGAATCCTATCAACTGGTGGTCACTATCCCCTAGGTTACCTTGTACCTGTAGATCCCCCACCGAGTCCTCCCCTGTGGCCAGCACCAAGTCAAGTAAGGCATTTCCCCAAGTGGGACTGCATGCCTCCTGTGTTAGAAGCCAAAATATTGTTATCAGAGCAAATATTGGTATCCTATCAAATATGTTATCAGAGTAAAAGCTCTGACCTGTTGGAGAAACCAGGCACCAAAAGCAACACCTTCAGAAGCACCTCTGTGTCTTGGGGCTTCTGTCGGGTTGCAGAAGCCAGCTAGAGCCAGATTTTAAAGATGTTTTGGTGCTTGAAGGCATCTGGGAGCCACATGTCCCAAATGTGACAATCTCATACTAGATTGTCCCCCGCTGGACTAAGGAGTGGACACACTTAGAGGACACGGGTATCATTTACACTGGCATGTCAATGGGCCTCATTTACAATAACTTTATCCCAGAAGAGAGTGGCGTCACAGTGGCATGAGGCTGGGCGTTGTGTGTCTTCCCTCCCAGGCAAATCAAACCCTGCAGCCATTTTGCAATGTCATAAATGACCTCAGGGGAGGGGGTGCGATGGGATCAGCCCCTTTCCATTTCAGGACACTGACGGAGACAGCAAAACCTACTGCCCCACTTCACTGACACCCAAGAGCTGAAACAGCGCGGGGCGTACAGGCTGAGGCCACGGCCCGGCTCAGAGCCTCTGGTCTCGTGACCCTGCTGGGACTCTGTGCAGTCAGAGGGGTTTATCTGCATGGCCGCCAATGAAGAGGCAGTGTCTAAAAGGAGCAGACGGCATCAAGGACACCCCCTGCTCATTGATCCTTTCATGCAGGGATTCTCAACCAGGAGCCGCAGCACCCTGGGGTGCCTTGAGATACTTTCAAGGGTGCCATGGGGGCACCATGTAGGACCAGTACTGCTAGTTGTGCAAACACAGTTTACAAGAGAAACCCAGAGCTTGTATATAGGATTACAGCATAGCATTAAAACATCCTGCCCTGCTGTGGGCTCTCAGAGATCTTTGCAACAGGAGAATCGCTCTAGCATTTTTGTGTAGTCAATAAAGAAGTGGAAACAAAGAGCTGATTTTCCAAGGGGGCTGGAGTCTAGCTAGGAGAGTATTGCAATGAAAAGGGTTGAGACCACTGTTTCAGTGGGACTACTTTCACTATGACAGTCCATCTTCTCGGCCCACAGCCCCGTGTCTCACCTCCCCCAGAGTGGCATGTCTGCCACTCGGCTCTGAAGCTACAGATCAGATCAGAGCCAAGGGCATGTCTGCCACTCGCCTTCAGAGGACAAGCTGTGGGGATAGGACACAGCCCCAGTTGGTGGAGACTGTTCCTAAAGATCAGGAGCGGTCAGAAATGACCGGGCACCTCCGGGTTCGGTTCCCCCTGCTCGAGGAAATGTCCCATGTGCAAATACCTCTGCACCTCCATCCCCCCACAGCTCGTCCCCCAGGGAGGAGTTCACTGCCACGTGATGGAGCCCTTTCGCAGCGGAGCAGACAGCGCCTGGAGCTGACTCTGCTGGACTGTCCTTCTTCAGTCCTTTCTCGAGATGCTGGTCGCAGGATGCCTGCTCCTGTCTGTCCTGGGTAAAACCCCTTCAGTTCCTGCTGGGTTTGTAGGACGGGACGGGAGGCTGATGACTATAACACCTGTTCTCTTTCTGCAGCCTTGGGGGCAGCGTTATCCCTGCACCAGACTCCACCGGTCCTGTTTGCTGAAGTCGGCGGCACCGCAGAGATCCTCTGCTCTCCTGGAGAGCCAGTGGAGGGAGGGAAAGGCAAATATTACTGGTACCTGAGAAGGGAAGGGAAGGTGCCCACCTGTGTCTGGAAATGCCTGGATGACAAGAACAAGAGCAGGTTTGCCTGCAGACTTAAGGGAGGCAACCTGACCCTGGAAATCTCCAGCATCCAGCAGAATGATGCTGGCATTTATTACTGTGCTGTTATTTTGAGCTTTTACTTGGCTTTTGGCAATGGATCCAGGCTGATTGTTGGAGGTAAGGAAAAAAAACTGGCCCTGAATACCCTTTGCAGGGGACAAGTAACTGGCAATCGAGAGGCACAGACAGCTTGGAAAGCCCAATTGATTGGGAAGGGGGACCTGGGTTGAGGGGGATGGAGATGCTGAGCATGGAGGTCCTGCAGGTTTATGTCATGTGGGTTGGGGAGAATTCATTTTAAATGGTTTTTAGTTGCAGAGACAACTGGAGTTTTCTTTTAAAAGCCTCCTTTACTGACTCTCACAGCCACAATGGATGTGAAGCTACGGCCTCACATGTACCTGACAAACCTGATCCCTCCCACGGGCAGACTTCTGATGCAAAATGCATCCCTCATTGACAGCTGTGACCTCCAGGCTGGGCAGTTATACCTGGATCCCTGCATGGGCTTCATAGGAGTGCAAAAGCCTCCCTGGGAGTCCAGTCAGGCCTTCACGTCCCCAGGTGGCTGGCAGCCTCACTGCGTGTGAGACATGGGGGGGATCAATAAATCCTCTGCTCTGTTCTGCTCAGACAGTTACACCCCCAGTGCGTCCGTGCTGCTCCTCGCTGCGTCTCCCCAGGGGACTGACCTCTCGGGGACGGCTGATCTGGCCTGTCTGGTCCGTGGTGTCTCCAACCCAGTGCACGTTGCCTGGACTATTCCTGGGGCTTCTCAGGAACAGCAGCTGACCCGGTCAGTGAAGGGAAGGGACGGAGCCTTAATGTTCATTAATCACATCAGCATCCCAGTGGCCACCTGGGCCAGCGCCGCGGCTGTCACCTGTGAGGTCTGGTTCAACTCCTCCGGCAGCAGTGTTCAGAGAAGCGCCTGGTTCAGGAAGCGTGAGTGATCATGTCTTTGGTTGTGGGTCTCAGAGAGACCTCAGACCTTTTTCTTTCTTCTTATTTTTTTGGAAAAATATATTTCTATATATATATATATATAGTTATACAGATATAGCATCTGGCATAAACTTTCCATCACACACCTTAAACCACATTCAGAAACCACACACCCATTACAAAAAACACACCTGCTCCCCTGCAGCCCCACAGACCCACTCACCACCTTTTCCCTAACCCCATCGCAATCTCTTTGTCCAAGCCCTGATTTGGGGTTTACATTCTCAGTTCGTTCACAGTCTTCATCGCTGTCACTTCTGCTGCTGCTCATGCTGCTGCTGTCTTCCTTGCTGTCTCCAGGGCCAGTTGCATCACTGTCCTTTTTACTCTCCCTGTCCTCTCCCCCTCCTTGGGGGTCTCTGAACAGCCTGTGCCAAGTGCCTCTTTTCCAGGTGGAGTTGGCTGCATCTTCTCCATCCTTTCCCACTGCTTTCTGGTAGTAGGACTGGAGTTCGCTAAGAAACATTTTAACAAAGTCTGTTTCCTTGAGCTCCATGTGTCTGTACATCAGTAGGTTCCTGCATTGCCACAGGGCACTCAGACCTCAACGACAGGCACAGGAATCCCAGTAAGAGCCATTCAGCTGTAATTAGAGGGGTAAAGAACTGATGGCCTCAGGAAACTGGGATTGGGTGGGATGTTATGGACATGTATTTAGAAGCACAGATGGATGGGTGGACGGATGGATGGACAGACAGGGATTGTTGAGCAGGGCCAGATGCAATGTTGCACTGATGTGCCAAAAGTGCATGTGCCTCCAGCATGCTATGAGGGCTCCGATGCCCAGCCCTGCCTGGGGAGGAGCTGTCGGAAGGGGGCTGAAGGTGAAGGGGGAGGCTGAGAGCAGCCAAAGGTGGAGATAACATGAAGTGCTGAGCAAAAGGCACGTGGTGGAGGGGAGAGGGGGGGATGGACTGAGCTTGCTGTGCCTGGGTGCTGGGCTGCACAGGGCACGGGTATGACTCTCTCACCCTGACACATCCTCCACTCTGATTTTAGGCTCCAATGACAACTGCATCCCTGCCATCGGCGCCCTGGCCGCATTGGGAACCCTGACTCTGTTGATGATACCTGTGAGCTGGCTCTGTCTTCGCCGCCCAGGCTGTCCAGGTAGCACCCAGCATGGGAAAATCACCTTCTCGGGGGGTCACACGGACCCTAACAATCCCCCACTGAGCAGCCCTTCCTGTGACTAGGCTGCACCTGCCCAGCTCTGGTGCCCGGGGCGTGAGGGGCTGGCCCAGTGATGTGGGCATGCACGGGGCAGGTGAACAGTGTGAATCCCCTGTTGTCTGTCCTCACTCAGTGGCTAAGGCTGGCTGGGGCCAGGCTGGGCCTGGGGTGCTCATATAAAGCCTAGTCAAAGCCTCCCACCCCATGGACCTTACTGCAATAAAGGCCCAGCCTCTTCCTCCCTGCCCTGCTGTGGACCGAGGCTCCCCCTGGACTTTGGGGGTGCCATGAAAACAAGTGCAACAAGGGTAGAAACCCACTGTGACAACACTGGCCTGCTTGAAGTGGCCCCGCCATTGTGTGCTGACAAGCCCATAGTCACCCGGGAGCTCTGGGCAACGTCACGCCTGGTCTGTAACAGTTCTCAGTGGCGCATCTTTCCCGAGGAGCATGCATCCATCAGTCTGTACCTGGCAGGGCAGTGCAGATGCACTGGGGGTGTTCGTTTGTAATCTCCCTTTGGGCCAATACCATGAGTGGGGCCTCATCAGGGTCTTTATTTCCACCAGGCTTTCGGCCCCAGAGTTCGGCCCCTCCAGCCCCCGCGGTGACGCAGGTAGGCCCTTTCAGCAGCCATTGGTGTCTCAGCCCATCCAGCACTGGATTGGTCCAGAGGATGCGAGCACGGCCTGCTTCTGTGCCCCATCACTGCTCTGTGCCTCAGTTTCCCTGTCTCTACAACAAGGACAGGCTGGTGAATCTGGGGTGGTTTCCCTCCCTCCCCCAGCAGGACGGGCTCTGGGGCAGAGCCTGCCTCCCCTTCGTGACACGTGGCACCCTGATGCATCCAGTCCAAAGTGTTTCCAGGGCAGATTTTGTCTCATTGTTTTAGTGCCTTTGACCCTTTGATTACTTTCCTCTTCTTCCAAATTCCCCTGTGGGATTTCATAAGGGCTGTGGGTGCTCCAAGATCTACAGCTGTGCTTACTTTTACTGGAGTGGGGGGAGCTGTTTCTCCTAAAATTGAGCCTGACAACATGGAATCAGCTTATATGCAAGGGGGGCTTAACCTCAGTGCTTGGATAGTCTATAGACAGAGAATGCATGGTTGCATTTGAAAGCCTGGTTCACTTTGCAATGGCAATCTCTCATTCCCCGTGCTCCTGAAGTCAGGCTCCAGTGGGATAAAACAGCCTCCCACACCAAGGCTAAAGCCATAAGAGCCAAGAGGGAATTTCTAACATGGCCCATGAAAGCCGATCTGGCTGAGACCTTCCCTTCTGTCCCTGCTGGTATCATTTTGTAGCTTGAGGCCCCGCTTTCCCTGTGGCAGGTTGAGGTGTGATGTCTTGTGTTGTGTGAGGGTCTTACTAAGAGGCGATATGGTGGTTTGAATAGGGATGATGCTGCCTCAAGCAGGGCTTGGACTAGGTGCGACCTCTGCAGGCCCCTTCCAGCCCCACTTCTCTGGGACTCTATAAGGCTGTGGCTCATTTTGCTGTGTGTTGTCAAACAGGATGGCATCATCTATGCCCAACTGGACCTCGAATCAAGAAGACATCGCCGCCGCAAGCAGTAGCAGCCAGCAAAAGAGAGAGAGAGACTGGAAAAATCTCAAATGGCTTAAGTACAGGGGGGATCTGATTGTGGACATTTGCTGGTGTTTTGAATGGGATTGAGCACCCAGGAGGTTTGCAGGACTGGGCTGCAATTGGGTTCTGCACCGGCGCTGTGACATGCATAGAAAACCCAGTTTAGTTCAATAACCCTCCCCCCTGCCCCCCCAAATGCTACTTTATTGCTCTCCCAACTCCCCTTGGGCTGTTTCTTAACTTCCTCATCTCCTTACTCCATGCATCCAGACATACCTTCCTCACCAGCCACATGTACCATGAGATGACACCTGAACTCCTGTGAAACACGAATCCATTTCATAGGGCAGGAAAGTCTCCTTGGGAAAGTGCTAATCATTGCAGTTAGACTAGACAACGCCCTGGAGGCAGGGTACGAACCCCAGTACCACACAGGTTTCTTCATAGGCGTAACACATTGATGAGGGCATTTGTGCTAATTAAACAGTTTTCCCAGGTAGGGATCCAATGCATAATTACCAGGCAAGTGCTTATAGCTGTGTCACCCCTTGTGCCATGGCAACTTCACACAACCGATTGCACTACATGCTCAACAGTAGGGAAGCCCCAAGACAAGCTGAACTGGAAGCAGGGGAGATTTGCACCTCATAGACTAAGTACATCAGGGATCAGCTTCTGTAAGCAGCAGGCTGACTTCAATCAGACACCATGGAGGGGCTGCAGCATGCTGAGTTTCTAAATAGGGAGCAATGAACAGACTACAAGGTCAAGTTGCATTGGGGAGCAGGTCACCCTGGGGGAAGAGAAAAACTTAAATGATATCAAATAATGCAGTGAATGAGAACCCAAGAATAAAGATGGAGTACCCAGTAGTTCATCTGCATCTCTGTCATTTATTTAATCTTCCATTTATTGCTGTCAGCATCAGCTCATGGGGCTTTAGGCATCTTATCCTCCCCAGGGCGAGGTCTTTCTGGGCCAGTCCGGGCAGTAAACCCCTGTACAAGTGACAGCCCTAACTGCACCATTTCCTACTCACCCCATTCCAGCGAGGGGGGCAGGAAGTGGGGCCCCTTGCAAAGCTCTGCCCACACATTAGCATGTCCAGAAAGCACATGTGGCTGGCAGTGGCAGTGTGGGGCACACAAAGGGCCAAGGGCAAACAAGGGGTGATGCTGGGCACAGGACTGACAGGCACTGAGTGGGACCAGCTGGCCCTCTGGGGTGGAAATCAGGGAGGCCAAGAGCAAAGGCAGCTGCTGACCTCCTGGAGGGAGCTGGGGCACAGGGAACAACCTGCCCTGCAAGCCGTCTTCCTGTGCTGGTCATCAGTATTGTGGGGGAGTCCCCCAGGGAGTTGATTAGAGATGTGTCTGGGCTGGTTTGGATAGGGCTGATCCTGCCTCAGGCAGGGGCCGGATTAGATGTGACCTCTGGAGCTACCTTCCCTCCAGACATCTCTAGGAGTCTATGATGGATGCAAGCTGCAGCTAACCCTACTGCCACCCCCCCTAGAGCTCTCCCCCTGCTTGGCCCCTCCATGCTAAGGACTGACTTCAGAGCCAGCACTGCACAGACAAATCCCTCTGACCGCCCAGTCCCAGCAGGCTCTTGAGACCAAAGGAGCTCTGCACTGTGCTAGCTCTCGGGTGTCAGTGAAGTGGGGCTGTATGTTTGCTGTCTTATTCAATGTCCTAAAATGGAAGAGGGCACATGCTGCGCCCCCCCCTCCCCTACCTCCTGAGGTCATTTATACCAATGCAAAAAGGCTGCAGAGTTTTATTTGCCTAGGAGGGCAGACACACAACACACTGTGGCAGAAATGCCCCGTCGGTGCCCCTCTCCAGAGATCTGTCTCTGCCAGCCTGAGAGGCTGCTGTTGAATCTCTCACAGCGGGGATCTCGCTCCTTGTCTGCAGACAAAAGCCTGGCGCCTGGGAGGCGATGCTCTGGTCACCTGGGCAGGGGGGGAAAGACCCAGCCCTGCGCGCGGGCCCAGGTAGCCAGGGATGCTTTGCAGATTGGACGGTTTGTGGCCAGTATTGGCAGCTTCGATTGGACCGGCTGCTGAGGTCAGAGAGGTGATAAAAAGGCCTGGGCCAGGAAGAAGGGGAGCCATTACCCATGCGGTCATCCAGGTGAATCTGAACCTGGCTCTCTCCTCATCACCGCATGCTCCAAGAGTGCCCTGCCTCCAGAGGAAACAACAACCACCTCTGGACGATGCGAGTGAGTAAGCTACTAGAGATCCGATCAGATATTTAGCTTCAGTAACTCAGATGCGTGTTGAAACGGCTACCTCAGCCACCCTGGTTTGCTCTATGGGATTCCT